ACCTAAATATGCCAGTAAAAAGAGTGAAGAGAGCCTTGTATATACTCTCCACCTAAAACACAGCTGCAGCTGAGAAAATACTTTCCTTTTTCATGTGTGCACTTTAATCACTCCAGCTGCATTCATTCCGTTCAGCTGCTTCTCTGGTGCAGTGTATCTTTAACCATATTGGGAGGTATTGTGAATTCTGAGCTATAAATTTCATTTACATGCCTTTATTTACATGATGTACATCTTACTTACTGCTGCAAGGAGTATATCAAACCTAGTATATCATAAAAGTTGGTGACCCTTCCTCAAAAGTTTCTAATTTGACTGAGTTTTGGACTGTAAACCTTTGGAAGCTATTTGCCTTTGTCTTTCCCTTTCATTCTATCCTCATATCAGCATATTCATGATCTTTTAAATATGTTGTATAGTGCTAGAGCATGAATTTTTTAATGTATTTTGATTTTTTTTCTGGGTATGCTTGACACAAATAGGTTAGAGAATTATTTAAGAATTGAGAAAACTATATCTTTTATATACAATTAATTAGAACATCCTTTGTCTTGAGAAAGTGTCTAGGACATACTATAATTTTGGTTTCCAAAACAAAATGAGACAGACTTGTAGTTATTGTAAGTGTTGATACTGACTTCAGCAGAGAGCAGTAAGCAAGCAGACAGGACAAAACTAATGTAAATTCTGATGATTCTATCAGTTCTTGAAAGTGAGTAAAGAGCTGTCAAACTTCTGAAATCTCTTCTAGCAAATTTGAGAACCCTGTTCTATTTGAATTAGCAAATATATCGCATACAAACAATGAAGTAGTAAGCTAAAGGAGAGGACAGAGATTAATTGATCAGTTTGAGGGATCTGTCTTTAGGAGTTTTTGCTTTGCTAGATATGCTCTCTGTTTCCCAGAAAAAGGCCTGCATGGTGATATTGCCACATTTTTCCCATCAGGGAAAAATCTCAAAACTATAAATCCTTTGTTTCCTCAGCATTTCTCTTGTACATAGTGTTTTCTCTGCTAGCAAATATTTAGTGTAACTGGACACAGCAATTCTACCTCACTGTTCCGGTCAATAATTCTTGCACTGGTGTTAATGATATCCTTTACGTTTGAGTCAGAAAAGCCTACATCTTCGTGGGGGTTGGGAGGGAAAAGACATACTTTTATGTTGCAATTATATGGCACATCTTTTCTTGTTATAAGTTGCTATGACAATCCTTATCCTGGGGATCTGATTCCAAAGTTAACAACTAATTATAATTAGTAGGCTTGCCTAATCCCTCTTTTACTCACCTTTCATCCTCTAAAATACTTTGATTATGTGGAATTTTAAGGATGAATCGGCATTGTTCAGAGAGATGAATCCCATTCCAGGTGTGAAGATGGGGAATGCGGCTGTTCCTAAATGCTCTCTGAGGTCTGGTCTATACTACCCGCCTGAATCGGCGGGTAGAAATCGACCTCTCGGGGATCGATTTATCGCGTCCCATCGGGACGCGACAATCGATCCCCAAATCGGCGCTCTTACTCCACCAGAGGAGGTGGTAGTAAGAGCCGCCGGCGGGAAGCCGCAGAAGTCGATTTTGCCGCCGTCCTCACAACAGGGTAAGTCGGCTGCGATACGCCGAATTCAGCTACGCTATTCACGTAGCTGAATTTGCGTATCTTAAATAGGCTCCCCCCTGTAGTGTAGATGTACCCTGAGTTGAGACTGCTCCTACTACCCCACCAGCTCAGCCTGTGGGGTTAGAGAAGTAGGATGCATTCCCATTATACTCAAGAGAACACGTCTGACTGGTAGTAGGGACAGCATTGGTAGTTTCTGCAAGAATCTGTATTCAGCCCTCTTCACTTGAAGGAAGGTTGCCAAGATGCACTTGCTTTAACACAGTGGTTATCCTATTGTTCTTAATTATTTAGTAATAGTGGGCATTCTAGTATGTGATGTTAGCTGGCATGTAATGTAAAAGTAACACATCAAATGCAAAACTTGAGTTGGTACTCCATGATATTTTGAAAAGTTATAAAATTAACATGGCACACAGTCAATGGATTAAAAGCTGGCTAGCTGATAGGTCTCAACATGTAGTTGAGGAATTGGGAAATTCCTGATTCTAGAGGGGTCCCACTGGGATTGGTTCTTGGCCCTACACTATTTAACATTTTTTTTTATTAAATACTTGGAAGAAAACCTAAAATCATCGCTGAAAGTCTGTAAATGACATAGAAATTGGGGGAGTGGTAAATAATGAAGAGAACAGGTGACAAATACAAAGCGCTGTAGATGGCTTGGTAAACTGGTAGAAGCAAACAATATATGTTTTTAATATGGTTAAATGTAAATATGTACATCTAGGAACAAAGAATGTAGACCATACATACAGGATAGGGGACTCTATGCTGGGAAGCCGTGACTCTGAAAAAGATTTGGGGGTTGTGGTGGATAATCAGTTGAACATGAGCTGCCAGTGCAACACTGTGGCCAAAAGGAATGGAGCAGTCCTTGGATGGATCAACGGGGGAATCTTGAGTAGGAGTAGAGAGTTTATTTTACTTATGTATGTGGTCTGGTGTGACCATTGGGGGAATACTGTGTCCAGTAATGGTGTCCATAATTCAAGAAAGATGTTGATAAATTGGAGATAGTTCAGTGAAGAACCATGAGAATGACTGAAGGATTAGAAAACATGCTTCATAGTGATAGATTTGAGTTCCATGGGTCTATTTAGTTTAACAAAGAGAAGATTAGGGGTGACTTGATTAATTAGGGGGGAGGGATAGCTCAGTGGTTTGAGCATTGGCCTGTTAAACCCAAGGTTGTGAGTTCAATCCTTGAGGGGGCCACTTAGGGATCTGGTACTTGGTCCTGCTAGTGAAGGCAGGGGGCTGGACTTGATGACCTTTCAAGGTCCCTTCTAGTTCTAGGAGATGGAGATATCCTATTAATTTATAAATTTTATTTATCTCTAAGTACCTTTGTGGGGAACAAATATTTGATGATGCACTCTTCAATCTAGCAAAGAAAGGTATAACACGATTCAATGAATGCAAGTTGAAGCTAGACAAATCCAGCCTGGAAATATGGCATCAATTTTAAAGTGAGTAACTAATCACTGGAGCAATTTACCAGAGGTCATGGTGGATTCTCCATCACTGATGATTTTTAAATCAAGATTGGCTGTTTTTCTAAAAGATATGCCCAAGGAATTATTTTGGGGATGTTCTATGGCTTGTGTTATACAGGATCAGACTAGATGTTCACTATAGTTCCTTTTAACCTTGGAATCCATGAATCTATTCACAAAACAGACCACATTCCTTTCAGTGAATGTGTAATTAGATGCGAGTTGATGGGAGAATTGTACAATTTTGGATTCTAAAAGAGGTTTCACGTTCGTAAACTCTGATTCTGCATTTTTGCATAGCTTTGTATGCATATAGAGCTCTCTCTCTCTCTCTCTCTGTGTGAACATTAGTTGTTAAGTTTATTAAAAAAATGAAAACTTGACTCATAAGTAGAATTTTGCAAGTTCCCTTAAATTTCAGAATCACATTCCTTAAAGAACTTGAGATTCTTTGCTTTTATTGACCTGTGTGATTAGAACCAAGAGTACCAAACTTAAATGGAGTAATTGATTCTCTATGGAAGCCCAGGAGAACATTTCATATAATATTTTGGAAAACATTGTCTTGAATAAAACAGGTCGGCATCATAATTTTGAATGTTATCTTCCAGCCTTCTTTGTCAGCAAATTGTACTGCACATTTTGTCAGATTTCTACTAATCCTTGTTTTTTAGTTAGGATAGAAATAACACAAGAACAGCAGAAAGATTTCTTGTGTTTGCTCCTTTGGCTTTTCATTCCAGCCAAAGCCAGGAAGTGAAGGAGGCATGGTAACCTATCTGTGTCAAACACCAAAAGTTGGGTTGGAGTTTGAGTATTAGTTCAGTTAATACTTTATCTGAAGTACTTGTTTCATGCCTAGTCTCAAAATGCTTGATCTCTACTGTGCCATTCAGAGCTCCAAGTACCAGGACAGATAACTATCAGTATTTAATGAAAATTGGGATGTGATGTAAGTGTATTGGTACCTTGCAATTCCTAAAATGGATTTCAGACATATTTTAGTGAAAATGTAAACATTTTCCAAAGCTCATTCTGGAACAGGAAGTTGTATAGTAAATGTATGTCTGAGTCAACTGGGTACAGTTTCAGCTGGCAGGCATCCTGGCAGTTTGTGTTCTAGTTGTTCTAATGTACTGACATGGTAAAGGAAAACAGGAAGGAAGCAGAGAACTCTTCAGTAACCTAAATTCAAATTGTTGTCCTCACCAAATCTACTTTTGTCTCAAAGCACAGAAATAATTCCCCATGGGCTCTTTCTTGGGTGAACTAATTTTTGATTACAAGCTAGTGTCAGAATTTTCATTAAACATAGAGTAAATGTAGATTAAAAAATAATAAGATTAGATTACTAATACATTTTTGATGTATTATATTTTCCTGTGTATACCAAAGTTAATGTCTGGACTTCTGTTATGTTCATGTAGTCCACCCCTTGTCTTCAAAATCCTTATGTTTCTTAGCTCATATTTTTGTTAATCTTATGAATAAATCTGTTTTCCATTTTTCATCCTTTTTATTTTCAACTTTTAGGAACAGTAAATAAACAGAGGAAGAAACTTACTGCGACTTCTCTCCAAGTCCACTACTATGGTGTTGCCTAGAGGGATTAGGAGAATAACCCTTAGCTCTGAGTTTTCTATTTAAACAACTTATACATGCTGACTAGTACCTTACTCCACAAATAGTTTGCTGGCAGCATACTCCATTTTTTAAAATTTGCCCTCTGAAAAAGAAATAAAACACAATCTTGTTACTGTTGGCTTTTTTGGTTTTCAGGAGGTGGCTTGACAAGTCACAGGAGAGGAATGGAAAATGCAAATTGTGGGCTAATTTTTAACGTTAATCACATTTCTTTTTTCTTTTAATTCCAACAGGAAATTGTTCTGGTGGTGTTTTTTGGTGCTGAATATTTGGTGCGGCTATGGTCTGCTGGTTGCAGAAGTAAATATGTTGGCTTTAAGGGAAGACTACGTTTTGCCAGAAAGCCTATATCAATTATTGGTAAGATTTATATTGTTTTTAGACTGTTCTGTTAGTATCCTTTTTAAAGTGCAAATATAAAGTTCTTACCAAAGAGCATACTGGAGACCTGAGCTGTATCCTTGATTCTTAGCACTGACCTGTGTGTGGGCCTTGGGCAAGCTGTCTGTGCTTCCCGGTGTCTGTCTTTGCTATCTAAATTGTCCTTGCCTTGAAAAGTTTACAGTCTTATTATGTTTTAGAAATGTGCCTAGTACAATCGGGTCTCTAGGCACTACCATGGTACAACTAATAAGCAGTAATATTGCATATCATGAAATAATAGTATGTAGTGGGCCCTTGCCTACAGGAAATCCTAGCTGAAGAAGGAAAATCTGAACGACAGTCCCTCTCTGGAGGGTAGGGAAGACAGAGAGCAGCGTCACCTGCTGGGGATAACAGGGGCGGGGTGAAAACTCAGCAAACCAAGTAGTCTGCTGAGGAGCTTAATATGCATAATTAACAATAGGGGAAAATAATGTACAACTTTCAAATCCTGGGGGAAGTTTCATTGCATGCAAAACAAACAGAAGCAGGAATGCACAAAATGTATAGCTGTTAGGGATCTCAAGTGATTAAAAAAATGAATTGCGATTAATCACATGATTACTCACACTGTTAATAGAATACCATTTATTTATATTTTTGAATGTTTTCTACATTTTTAAATATATTGATTTCAATTACAACACAGAATAAAGTGTACAGTGCTCACTTTATATTTTTGATTACTAGTATTTGCACTGTAAAAAAACAAAAGAAATAGTATTTTTCAATTCACCTTATACAAGTACTGTAGTGCAATCTCTTTTTGTGAAAGTGCAACTTACAAATGTAGAATTATTTACAAAAAAAATAACTGCATTCAAAAACAAAACAATGTAAAACTTTAGAGTCTAGAAGTCCGCTCAGTCCTACTTCTTGTTCAGCCAGTCACTAAGACAAACAAGTTTGTTTACATTTGCAGGAGATCATGCTGTCTGTTTCTTGTTTACAATGTCACCTGAAAGTGAGAACAGATGTTTACATGGCACTGTTGTAGCTGGCGTTGCAAGTTATTTACGTGCCAGATGGAGTCGGGGCGGGGCTGGGGACAGACGGGAGTCAAGCACCCACCGGTGTGAGCAGAAATTGGCGCCTATGCATACTACAGTAGCAATTAGTGTTTGTATAGCATTAGAGATCATACGGTGCACTTTAAATGCTAAGTGTAAATCATGACCCGGGTTGCAACATTTTTGTTAGGGCGCTTCAGAACGTCGAAGTATAGAGATGTGGGAGGTCATGTAAAAAGAGTTGCAAATACTGTTTTATTCTTGTGGGAATGAAGGCTCATTGGGAAACTACATTTGGAAGTACAGCTGTTGCTGTTATGTTGTAGAAGAAACGGCGTACTAGCCCTATTGCTAGGCTTGTCTGTGTGGCTATACATTTGTGTTGTAGGTGTTCAGGCTAGGGCTGGAGCCTGGGCTCTGGGGACCCCGCAAGGCCAGGGGGTTCCCAAAGCCTTGGTTCCAGTTGGAACCCAAACCATGTACACAGCAATTTTTAGCGCCGTGAGCCCGGGTCAGCTGATATGGGCCAGGCCCAGGTGTTTAATTGCTGTGCAGATGCACCCTTAATTTTCTCATTTTTCTTTTGTTGTTGTTGTTTTGTTATAGATGTGAGGATTTAGAAGCTTATGAAAGAGAAGGGACCTTCATTGCCAGGGCCACTAATAACTTTATATCCTAAATCTGCTCACTGCTTCTGAATTCAGTGCTGTTTATAGAAAGGAGTTAAAATTGGCAGATACCCTCAGTTGCTACTCTTCCCCCTCCTTTGTTTTCCTCTTTTTCTCTCCTTTACTTTAGTTTTGTCAAAGCTTTTCTTTGGTTTGTTTTTTTGGAGATGCTGGATAGAATATGTTGATGAAGAAGCATTTTCAAAAGAACAAAAGCCTGGGGGGAGTTGGGGAGAAGAAGCTGGGTGTGCCAAAGGGGAGAGAGGAGGAGAGTGAACAACATGAAAGGGGCAAGATGAATATAATACCGAAGTGAGAGGTGGTGGGGGAAGGAAGGAAAACTACAGGGAGAAAAAGTTAGGACTGGAGGAGACAATTTATTTTTTATTTTTATTTTTGATAAAACTTAAAAGTACAATAGTTTCAACCTTGTATTGGAAGACCTGAAGTTTTCATTGTTGAGGTGGAATTTTCCAAAGCCACTAGTGCTGGTCTAACTAGGGTGACCAGACGTCCCGATTTTATCGGGACTGTCCCGATATTTCCTTGTTTGTCCCGCGTCCCGACCGATGTTTGGTCGGGACACTGGACAAACAAGGAAATGCGCCGGAGCCTGGAGCCCGGAAGTGCTCGCGCCCCCCGACCCCGCCCCCTCCTCCCCCGATTGGCTCCCTCCCCGAATCCCCGCCTCTTCCCCGGGCTCACCATTCCTCCCCCCTCCGCAAGCGCTGGAGGGAGGCCCGGGAGACTCAGGGGAAGTGAGACTCAGAGGAAGCGCGGGGCCGGGGTGAGTGAGAGTCCGGCCTGGTCCCCAGCAGGCAGGACCCAGTTGGGTGGTAGGGCGAGGAGGGGGGCGGCCCGCGGGGCCAGGCGGTGGCTGTTCTCCCCCCCGGGCAGCGGGACTCGGGAGCAGCCGCTGCTGCAGCTCCCACTGCCGCGGGGGGAGGAAGCGGCCATGGCGCTCTGCGG